AGCCCCGCGTCGGGCTCTGTGCTGACTGCCAGCTCAGAGCCTGGAGCCAATTTCAGAGTCTGTATCTCCCTCTCTCTCTGACCCTCCCCTGCTCACGCGGTCTCTCTCTCTCCTAGAAATAAATAAAAAATATTTTAAAAAATAAAAAATAAACATTAAAAAAATTGTAAAATAATAATAATAAAATAAAATCTTTAGGGGCACCTGGGTGGCTCAGCTGGGCAAGCATTTGACTCTTGATCTTGGCTCAGGTCATGATCTTACGGTTCGTGATATTGAGCCCCACGTTGGGCTCTCTGCTGGCCGTGCTCAGAGCCTGCTTGTGATTCTCTCTCCCTCTCTCTCTGCTCCTCCCCCACTCACACACTTGTGTGCACTCTCTCAAAATAAATAAACTTTTAAAAAAATCTAAAAAAAAAAGGGGGATACAGAAAACATATTGGTGGTGGGCAGGGGGTGAGAAACAGGTAAAGGGGATGAAACTTTCAGTTATAAAATAAACAAGTTCTAGGGATATCTAGCGAGCCTATAGTTCAAAATACTGTATTACATTATTGCAAGTTCCTAAGAGAGATCTGAAAAGTTCTCATTATCAAAAGAAAAAAATTTTTGGAATTCTGTAAAGAAATATAACTAGATTTAACCGTGGTGATCATTTTGCAAAGTATACAATTACCGAACCTGTGCACTGTCCACCTGAAACTAACAATGTACGTCAATTGTACCTCAGTTGAAAAAAAAAAAAAAAAAAAGTCAAGCTTTGAAGAATCTTTAAGCAGGTACCTTAAGGGTAACTGCTTAATCTGTACAAATGCTAAAATACCCAGAACCCTGGCAAGTCTGAGAATCAGAGGAGGTTCCAATGGCACAGTTTTGAGAACTGGCCTTGCCCTGCCCCGTAGCCCCAAGGCTCTGGGGGTGGCACCTTCACAGCCCCAGGGCCCCCTTTTCCCACAACAGAAACTGTTCCTTCACCAAAGGAGGCTGCTGACCCTGCCCTCTCCTCTTCCCATTTCATCGGTTGCCAAGGCCCGTGCTACTTCTAATTATCATCCATGTCATCTATCGGGTCTCATATTCTTACAAAGAATGTCCTATAGTGTATATTCCGTGAGTTACCACATGACACGTGCTTGAAACACTGCCTGGCAGGGAGCCCAGTGGTTTTGTAACAAAACTTAGTAGTAACAAATATTCTACGTGTCACAGATTATTATATAAATCACAGATTATTGTATAAATACCAGATTATTATATAAATATCATTGCCATTTCTAATGTTGTTTTAGCTTTTTGCGCACGCTAAGGGCTATACATACGTTATCTCACTCAGTCTTATTTTTTTAACGTCTGTTCATTTTTCGGAGACATTGCGTGAGCGGGGGAGGGGCAGAGAGATAGGGAGGCACAGAATCCGAAGCCGGCCCCAGGCTCTGAGCTGCCAGCACGGAGCCCAATGCAGGGCTCGAATCCACAAACTGAGATCATGAGCTGAGCTTAACCGACTGGGCCACCCAAGCACCTCTTAATCTTTTTTTTTTTTAATTACTGAGATATAATGGACATGTAACACTACGTTAGTTTCAGGTTGTACAACATTAGGATTCGATACTTGTACATATTGCAAAATGACCACCACGATAAGTCTAGTTAATACCCGCCACCACATAATTACAATTCTTTTTCTTTTCTTTTTTAAAGTAAGCTCTATGTCCAATGTGGGGCTTGAACTCGTAACCCTGGAGATCAAGAGTCGCATGCTCTCCTGACTGAGCCACGCAGGTGCCCCACAATTTTTTTTCTTACTATGAGAATTCTTAAGATCTACTCTCTCAGCAATTTTCAAACAGATGATACAATGTTATTAACTATAGTCACCATCCTATTCATTACAACCTATGTGTTTTATAATTAGAAGTTTGTACATTTTGACCCCCCCTTCACCCATTTCACACACCCCTCCCCCACCCAGTTGCCCAAACTTCTCAACAGCTGTATGAAGCCGGTAACTAATTACCCTCATTTTACAGAAAGGGAGACTGAAGCCCAACTACAGAAACCACCTAGCTGAGAATACAGGACTATTAAATTTCACAGCCAGGAAACCAGACCCTGCTGGACCCCAGGAACTGCCTTTTTTAACCTCTCTCAGGCTGGGGAGGAGGTGCGTTTGGCCCACAAATGAGGAGTCAGAATTTGAGGAGCGAGGGGGCAGTTCTGCGCCTGGTCCCTGCCTATCGCCCTGAGAGGTCTGGTCTGGGGATCCGGGATTCCTGGTTGGCTGGAAGTCTCCTCAACCCCGGGGGGGGGGGGGGGGGGGGCGGGCACGGGGAGGCGTCAGGCAAGGGAGGAGACGGGCACTCACCTCAGGATGAATGCAAAGGTTCTTCCGGGAGCTCAGAGCCAGGCCCAGAAACGGCAGCTTCTCTCCCTCCTGCTTCTCATAGAATTGGAGCAACTTTCGAAGCTCTTCGATCACCTGTTCCCCGGAGGGGGGAGGAGAGAGGAGGGACTCCAGTACAAGTCCCAGCCAGGGCCCCCCTCCCAGCTTCTCAAACACCCGCGCCCCCCCCCCC